TTCATATCACTATTCGGATTATTTTTCAACAATCACATGATAACATATATGCCTTATTGACATTTATTCTCGTGTAAACAAGTTATTTATTGTGTTAATTTTTCAAACATTTTAAACTACCCTACTGTGATGTATGCTACTGATGGCGAGAGATATAAGTAGTGTGTATCGCCAGTTGAGAGTGGAGTGCCTGCTGGCAGAAACTTAAGAAGATCAAAGAAAAAAACAGAACAGAATGTGATTGGTGTGGAAAAGTAGAGACAATGAAGTCTAAGACGATTGGTTGACATTTCGCAAGTGAATTATTTACTGTATGGATCTCCGATTTTACCAAGATACTCTGTAATGTTGTGTTGAAATTCATTTGGTTCTCCCTACTGATGTTTTTGTTTACTACGCTACAAGTTGGACTATTTTTCTTCATTTTAATAACCATCAGAAAAATTTGTTTACAGATCCGTAAAATATATTCGGATCTTACAGTTAATTTTTATGGATTGTTCGTGATATTTGAATAGTTATGATTTTTCGGAATTCATGAACAAGCGAGATGTATTGTTTATCAGCATTATCATTATCTTCAAATTAAAGAGGGTAGTCTGATAATTTAGGTTTTTCAGCTTACTTAAATTAGATATATTAATAATAAGAATAAATTTTGTTTTGGCCGTCGAAAAGTGTAATTTCTTCTGAATACATTTTCAGTACAACTTTGAGAACTACTACATGATCTCAATAAAAAACCTAATAATCTCCACAAACCCTATACTGACAATGCAAATAGACATTCAAAAATGAGATATATGTTTTACATTTGATTGCCCTAATATAATGGGGAATGTTTGTTGATTGAGTGGCTGATCTTAGCATTGTAATGCTTTTAAATATATATATACAGGATTTTTTTATAATATAGTTAGGCTTAATAAACCTTAAATAGTTAGTACTCAATATATACTTCAATTGACTTGTATATTCAATAGGACTGTGATCTTATTAATTAGAATGAATTCAAGGGACCTTGAGTATGAGAGGTAACAATCACATTTCAATTGAGAATATTTCTCTTGAATTCATCACTCCAATATTTCAATCCTTTTAGTTGTTACTTTTAGTGTTTGAAGGGAGTTCAAGTTTGATCACTCTTGTTAGGTCTTGAATAATCCAAGATGAATGTCTTGAACTGTCATAAAATATCTTGCCGTTTTATATTAGCTATCCAATCTAATCGTTAATTCAAGTTCATTACCAGCTGAAGATTTAATCGAGAAAAAACCTGCTCACTGTTCACATTATTTATATTTTGATATGATGTGAATTTTAAACAACTAATAAAAACCATCAAAAACTACTATTGTAGCGAATGAGAGCACAGGTAGGGACAACTAAATCTGTTTTAACACATCATTATTGAATATCTTGATAAAACCTGAGATTCATAAAGTAAACATTTCATTTACAAAATGTCAACCAATTGTCGCCGACTTGATTGTCTCTTCGTTTCCATACCAATCACGGCGAGACTCTAATTTAGGGACGACCTTTGAAAGAATCTTAAATGACCTTGACAATTATTAACCAATCAGAAGACAGTATAAAGTGAAAATATATTATAAGTAATGGATTACAGTGCATATTCTTCTCTTACATGATTTAAAAACTTGTTGAGGTTTGATAAAGGTTCAAAGGTTCTAAATTCATAATGTATATGGTATAGAAACTCGTTAATAGGGTTAGAGTTTAGGGTTAAGGTTGGGGTACTAACATGCGATCGGTTTACAATGGGTTTTATAGGTTAGGGTTAGGGTTAAGGGTTAGGGTAAGGGTTAGATTTGTAGCCTCTTAATAAACACCTCTTCTCTAAAATCCGATGTAAACCGATTGCATGTTAGCACCCTAACCCTAAACTCTCACCATAACTTTAACCCTAACCCTATGGACGAGTTTATATACCGTATGCATTATGATTTCAGAACTTTTGAGCCTTTATCAAACCTTAACAAGATTTTAATCATGTAAAAGAAGAATATCCACTGTAATTCATTACTTTCTTATAATATATTTGTACTTTATACTGCCTTCTGATTTGCTGACAATTGAAATTACTCAAACGCTTCTCATTCCCGTCCCTAAATTAGAGTCTCGCCTCAATCACTTTCTGTTCTCGTTCTCTTTCCTTTAATCTTCTTAACCTTGTACCGCCAGGCATTTCACTTTCGTTAATTGATACATACTACTTATATCTGTCGATATCAGTAACAAACACCACACTATGATCATTCCTAAAACAAATACCTAAATATAATTTATAATTATTAATAATAAATTAATTTTATCTGTTTTTTTCTGATAAACATTATTTTTGTAAAATTATTGTCTATATCTACAAATTAAATCTAAAACTTATTTCGATGGTTGAGATCATGAGTTAATTGAAGCTAGACCATCATGGAAAACTTGGAAGCACTGGATGACCATTTCATCCTATTGTGAAACTCCTAGGCAGTGTGCATTCACGACTACGTCTCGCGAGATATCGAACCCATGACCTATCAGTCTCGCGCACAAGCGCTTAACCACTAGATCAATGACTCATGATCTTAACCATTGAATTTACTACATTCTCTACAAAATCCCTTTTGATACTAAAACGAATTGTTCATCCAAAATAAATTATTTTCCTTTAATTCCATTTCATCTTTTTATAAAACAATAATTTCATAATAAAAACAAAAACTAAAACAGTAATTTATTGTGATCATTGCCAATATTTGGCGGGATTATTTGAATATAAATAATCTAATTGATAGGATGATAATGACGTAAGAATTGAGAAAAAAATCGATTTTTTTCTCTGTTTATTGATTCATGCTATAAGGAAATTGGTTTCTTTTTTTTGTTTTTTTTAAAATTACAGTAGTAATCTTGAATTAATGATTTGATTGTTGTAACAAAATTAGAGAAAATGTATTTTTGGTTTTTATTTATTACCTCCATATTCAGATACTATAACCTAGATTGTATGACAATTAGTCAATTAAAAAGCAATAAACAGTCATATGTACTAAATACTGATGATTCTTTTTGTATGATGTATGGTGTACAGGATAAAAAAGGTGTTGTAGTGGCTGTGCTTCGTTGACCAATCACCCTCGTAACCGTTATCATATAATCCTCAACGGTGCTTGAAATCAGAAGGCAAAGGGAAGCAGCGACTACAGGTTTATTAGCAGATAACTCAGACCAGAAGCAGAGAGGCAAATGAATGAGTCAGCGAACCTATAGTATAGGGTGTTAAATGTACATGTTTATATATATAGGGAATGAATGGATCACAGAATCAATTAAACTGCTAATGATAAAGCCAGCTGAATGAATATATGCGTAGGCGGTAAAGCAATGTTCAAGCATACATATTTCATACAAGCACAACAATAATAAAGGTACAATAAGTTGTTATAGTACGGATGACTCTGTCCACTGAATAAGTTAACAAAAAAGCTTGACCGAATTAAATGAGAACAAACTCAATTGCGCGTAAGGTGCTATAGTATTATTTGTTTGTGATGAAATTAAGTGATTGTGTTCTTTCGAATAAGCTTTCTTTAAAGTTCTAGATACATTTTATAAGTAGTTATTGTTTAGATGTTAACAAAAAGCTTCACAATGGTTAGATGCTATTTAACTTATTTTATGAAATTTAAATAGACGGAATTAAAGATTGTTCCTCATGCAAAATGATAACATTAGGTGAACTATTTAAAATAAGGGAGGACATATATTAGCATGATCGTACCTTACGACTCTATTGGAGTACACGTCTATGGTCCCACATAGGGTCAAACGTAAAATGTTCACTTATTGTTTCGAATAAGCTACCTCAAACAAGTGAATTTAAATCTAATAGTCTGAAATCCTGGTTCCTTTAACTTTACTGTTTCTTCAATCATTGTCAGTATATAACAAAAATTATAATTAAATCAAACTTATGTCCAAAAACTATACAATCAAACTATTCAATCTAAGTTTTGTTATTTAAATCTAGAAGTCAACTGGTAGGTTGAACACTTTCTCTGCCATATCTATATAAACATAAATATATGGCTATTAGTTTTTAATTTATAATTAAAGATTCATAATACTTCATTATTATAATTAATTTAATATTTTAGTTGGCACTGAATTAAACCTGTACGTAAAACTAATTAATCGAACATATATTTGATAATTTAATTCCAATACATCTCAATCGATTTACTAGCCTTTTAACACTGTTTAACTCTTATATTTTCTAATGAATGAACATAAACTTTAATAGTTTACTTGGTGGTTATGTTAGTATGCAGTGTAAAATTGTTTTGGTATGTGCTACTAATGTCAATAGATATAAGTAATATGTATTATCATTCGAAAATGAAATACCTGAAGGTAGAAGGTTAAGAAGATGCAAGTGAAGAGAACGAGAATATAAAGTGATTGGTGTAAAAAAAGAAGAATCAGTCAAGTTTGGGACAGTTGATTGACATTTTACAAATGAAATATTTACTGTATGGTTTTCAGATTTTGCTAAGAGATTCTATAATTTCATGTTCAAGTATATTTGATTGTCCCCAATTGTGTTCTTGTTCACTACACTGCTATTTTACAAGATTACATATACAAAAAGGGTTTTGGGTTTAAAATACAGCATATACATAAATAAATTATTTGACCTTATTTACAAAAATTCTATTGAAGTAGCTATGGTTTATACTTACATTTTAAATGTCAATTGAAATCAATGTTTTACTTTAGCGTAATTTCAATTGCAACCCAGGAAAGAGTTCGATGGCGAATCTTGATGGGAAGCTTATGCTACTCAACGAGAGGTAATAGGAGTAAGTAATTTTAGTGCTAGCAGAGAATTGATCATAATTGAAAATTCCTTTCTTTTCTACTAATTTTCAAACAAAAAGCGATCGTTGAGTTATAAATTTATTTATTTTCTTTTATTTAAATAGAAATCTTGGCAGCACTGGACTTCGGGTATCTGTACTTAGTTTAGGTAAGTGTTAGTATAATATTAGTACTGTGTTTTAGCAATTAAAAGGTTATAAACCTCTGTAGCTTGTAGCTTTTTTATTTAGTATTCAGTACATTTCTATTTTCATACCTCACTTGTTTATTTAATAAATGGAGCAAATATATGAGAAATTAGGTACCAGAATAATTTAGATAAATAATCCTTTTCATCATGGGGGTTTATCGACATTGTTAATTGTTATTGAGATTGAAAATCGACCTTCATTAGACAATCATTGAATCTAGCAATTGCTGGACAGCTGTTTCACGAAACATGAAATTATAAATGCTCACAAATATGAGAACGAACTATCCAGGGCTTCTTGGTTTTGATGGTTATAAAACTTTCGTCATTTTGTGATCACAGTGAACTAGGCAATAGTTGAATTAAATATGGTCTGTAATATTTAATTTTAAAAAGCATATAATAATAGTTTAATTGTCAGATTAAAGGCAGATAGTTTATAATAATAATAATGATCAGATTTTAATAAATGAAATGAATCAATGTACAACTCTAATGTCAGGAAATAAAGTATACGAACACTGGGTTACTATTTAGTTAGAATTTAAATCTCTTCATCAGTGCGAAATCATCACTGTTCACAGTGTTATCTTCATAAATTATAGAAAACATAATACTATAGTTAGAGTTAGATGATCCATGTTTATAATGTCATGAAATGAAGTATTCATTTCAATTTTACTTGTTAATAAACTGTTGCATTTCCGACTTGTTGACTTCGCAGATGTTAACATCACTCTTAGTAAGTATTTGATTAATATGTCGTAATTAATATATACCAGTCAAATTTTTATATGAATGTGAATACAATATACAGGATTATTTTAATGTAGAATGTGATAGATGATAGAATAACATGTTAATTTGAGGTGACATAAGAATAATATAAACATTGATATAAAGTCTAGCATACTAATTTATTGTAACAAAATAAAGTTACTAAGCGAAATCATTTTATAAACAACTTTACCTGATTGATCATATTGACTCAGTAACCTTGATAATAGTTGGACAGATACCTGTTTTATATGAACTATACATCTGACTTCAATACACTGAGTATATATATATATATATATATATATATATATATATATATATATATATACTTTCTTTTTTCTATTACTGATCTCGTAGACCTACAGAGAATCAAAATTCAGTTAATTGTAAACTGTAGAACTAATTCACTTTTAGATGTACGAGTCATCTTTCTCAGCTAATGTTTATGATTTTAAAAGTTTGTTTTTCTGAACTGTTTGTTTTTAGAATCGTAAAAGTATCATAAAAGTGTGTCTTTTAAACACGTTTGGATTGTATATTTAAGATTAACCTTGCTTTAAGTCACTGCATTACTTTTGCGGCTTTCATAGGAGTTATTATATTATTTATACCGATTTAAAAAGCAAACTGAATGTTGGTTGAACGATGTAAATTTATGAACTTCACTGCTTTCAGGATGGTTATTTTATTATTATCACCATTAATAATAATATTATTATTAGTGGCATTTTTAGAGTTATAATTTTGGTGAAATATAGAATTCAACAAATTTCCTTTTTTTACTTGTTGATCGACCCTTGCAATAAATATTGAGTAGTCGCCAGTCAGATGTTAGCAGTTCAGAAATCGACATTTCAGAAATGTTTATTCTTTTCGATTCATATTGCCAACAATCACGATATCTCTGATTGGACATTTTTTTAATTTGTACAATGAAATGTCGTAAACTTTTCACAAACGCACTTGAATAGTTTATGTGACTAATATGCATAATGATGCGTTAAAACAAACAAGAAAACAGATAACTTGTTGATATATCCAAATGGAAGGAACAAATATTCCAGATATTCAAGCAGATCACCTTGTTTACTATTCTGTAATCAATTTTTCATAAACAATATCTAATTAGATTCTGATTAGAGTTAGATCAATTCATGTAAAAACAAACTATACCATTTATGGTAATGGCTATTTGAAAAGTTTATTTCTAAAATGAAATTGATCCATTTCTATTTATAATTTGCAAAGGATTTATTTTCCAGACTTGATTAAATGAATTTTGCTTTCTTGATATTCATGTAGTACTTCTTGGACTTGATTATACTTCCATCTAACTTTCATTAAAGTTAAACTAAGTTGTTGTTTTTGTTATTGCTGTTTTTCTTTTCTTTTTGATCATCATATTCTTGCATAAATATACCGTATGTTTACATTTGTAAACAGAAGAATTTTAATGAATTTCTTTTTTGTCTTTATAGTAGGATAGAAGTACATACAGATAAAAGAAGTTATACTTTATTCTTCCATTATCAAATTCTATAAGAGGCATATTACTGTCATGGACATAATAAGTTATTTTGTATACAGATTAATGAGTATCAATTTTAGTAGGTTAGATAAGATTAAAGTTTAATAAATATGTATGTAAACAATTAGCAAGAACATATTAGGTACACAAAGAAACCTCCTAAGAATTCTGTAGAACTAGATCAACTTCAAATTAAATCGGCAATAGCAGTTCATGCCATTTTCAACGACCACCAAATTGATTTTAAAAATATCAAAATATTGACAAAAGGCTTTTCCAATTACAAAGAAAGGAAAGTAGCTGTAGCGTTCCATATAATGCTTAATCTTACTTATCTCAATAGAAAAGGAGGCCTTACCATACATCCTTCTTGAACTAGCTATCCTAGCCATTCAGTCTGATCGTATTTACAATTTCACACTATCATATTACAAATTAAACTGTACCCTTTCTCAACATAAATGTCACACAATTTTTCATCCTTAAACAATGCACACATACATGCACACATAAATTTACATACATATCACTTATGAATCACTTTGACAAAAATGACATGACATCAACTTGTTCAGACCTGTTTTTGATTGACCAAATATTATTCTTGCATTGTTCCGTTGTTTAAACGTGGATTAATTTTAATTTGGTTATTTATTCTCTGAAGAAGTGACGTACACTAAGTCACGAAACGTCAGAAAATTTAATTTTCTACTTATTGGGATATTACAAATATATTATTTATTTATAATTAGCAAAGAGTTTAAGCCATGAAAACCGCTTACTTTGCGTTATAACTAATAATCATGTGTAATAATTAATCATCTTTAATGATTACGTTCTTGCGTATAAGTCAAACAACTCCGCCTGGAGTCCCTCCGGGGGATACTGCCGGTCCCGAGCCCGGATAAAGGAGGAGGTTCGGGCATGGGGTTAGCGTCTCCGACCCGTGGAAAACTAACTTGCTGAAAAAAAGCTAACCAGAAAAATTATTAAAAACGCTAACGTATAAATCAAACATACTACTTTTAAAATCAGTATTGAATAATATGGTACCATGTTTTTTTAAAATATTGTCATGAATCAGACAAACGTGAAAGTGTAGTTAGTAGAGTGTTTGTTTGTTTATAGAAAATAGAAAATACACATACATCTCATGATTTATTAAATAACAGTTTTTGATTACCTGAATCCCTAAAATCTGTCAAAAATAAGACTTTTTCCAATGTTAGTTATGTTTTCATTTTAATTAGCTTAATTCACTAACGAAGATTTCGGGTTTAGAGAATTCATTCTAACAAACCATAAAACTCATGATTTGTTACTTTTATTTCGTCTGAGATTCGTTAGTTGAATGAATATGAATTTCATTGAGTGTTAATGTCTCTTATCTAAGATTCAAACCAGTGAGGTATCAATCAAATCTATTGAGACGAATTGGATAAGACATAAGAATTGAACAATAAAATATGTAATCCAAAAGGATCATGACAAATATAGATGACGTACATCCTAAAATAGATCAACTATTTCAATCCTAGAAATATCAATGATAAAAATAAATGTTGATAACACGCAGTATCATCATTGATTCATTTAAATTTCTTAACTTATATAATTTCTAATCAAAGAGTGTAATAAAACATAAGACGAGCAAAAGTCAGGATGTATTTCACAGCATCTATCTTCAGGGTTGATATTCTACGTTACTTTGGACACACGATCTTGTACACAAGAACATGAAAGTTCATACACACTAGTTTACATTATAAGGTCGTAATCTATCACCATGTGATTTTCGCTGAAACCATTTTAATCTTTTTGAATGATATGTCATTTTCCTGAAAAGGAATTTATTGTCCTATAATCATTCTTACTAGTTTATAGATAAAAGTAGACCAACCCTTTCGTCCTACAATCGCACGTTTGCTGGTCGATCCCACGAACGAAACCGCTACGTATCGAAAGTGTAAACCCTTTCTAGCGGTGGGGGCTCCTGTAGTGACGTACTTTTATCAAGAGAACGCGATTAGTGTAATGGAAACAATTATTATTATAACCAATTGTAACAGGGATTGTTTTACCGTACTTGTTTGTTGAACTGTACCAAAACACATACATTCTTCCGTTGATTGTGACCTTGCACGAATTTATTATAAGCTCCATTCTGACCTATAGATTATTATTATTATACGACTTACTGTTCTTAAGTTATACTCAGTTCATTAATTACTGTCTCCCACGTTCACAACCACTTTTTGGATTTATTGTGTATGAATGTTATTTCCTATTTTATGGTGCGTTGCGGTCAGTTTGGTTGATATATAAACTCAGTGTGTCTGAAATAAATGATTCGATTCGCATAGTGAAGGCTGTTGTTGGCATTAACTAGCTATCACATATAATCATGTATATTCTGTATGTTTGAGTAAAAAACAGTTTATCGGTTTGATCAAATAGTTTACCATGATAGTAGATTATTGTATTAATGTAGTCTAGAACCAGGTCTTGTTATTTAGGATTGCAATCGATCAGTCTCTTGTTGGCATATGTGTATCCTATGTGGATTGCCTCGATATAGCCTTAAGTCACAAGCTTTTCTTAACCAAAGATGGATCTTGGCTAGCAGTGGAATCCAGGACATGCGTTTCGTCCTATTTGTGACAATCGGAAGATACAAGTGAAACAACATCAAGTGAATTCAAACTTAACCCCATTGCACAAGCAGATGGCTATCAGAACTCAGCAGATAAGTGGATAACTTGTTGACGCTTGAAGCGAGCGGTACTGGGTCTGAGTCCCAGAATGAACATCAACTCTGGGATACAAGTGTATCCAGTTGACGAGTCCCAAATAGAACGGAATCTGTGCCCTGGAATCCAATGTTAATCACTATCCATCTTTGGTCATATTATTTTGTTTATCATTCACTTAGTATTTCAAATGATTGTCTTTCATTTCTAATTGTTTTGTTTATATATAGAAAGACAAAACAGTCATTAGCTTACATCAATATATTTTCTTCATATTAACATAATTGTGTTTTTTTTTCTCCTACATATTTATCCATTTAATTTCATTGTATTTTAATTCCAGGTACAGATGTGACTTTCGGTAATCAAATACCGGATGAAGTAGGTTTTTTTAGACAGTTTATTTTGATGATGATCTCTTGGGAATACGATTACATTTTGTTTATTGATTAATTTTTAACTGCATAGGTATAGTTATAGTTTTTACTTTTATGGGATTATATTTTGGAAAACAATTACAGGTTGTTAAGTCACAGTAAGATATCGTTCATAAATTCGAAAAACTTATTATCATGCAATTATGATTGCTAGTTATCCGAAATGAAAATCACTCACAACTATTCTTTCATTTTTTGTTGTGTTATTGTAACCATCCAGTTTTGCATTATTTTGTCATTATAAGATATTGATAAGAGATGGTGTAGGGGGTTATTGCCGAAGAAAAAAAGGATTTTGGCATATTGATAAAAAAACTCTTTTCTATTTTGTTTATGAGAGCATAAGACTATTAGCTTAAGTTAAGTTGGAAGAAACTGATTAAGTTTATATTTCTATTACATTAATTTATCTATTGATACATTAAATAGGGAAGTGAATGATAAAAGATTTCTTCGGTTAAAATCTTTAGTTTGATATGTATCCTAATAATTTTCAACAAATTTATACCAAGCAACGATGCGTAATTTCCATTAAGTTGCTTGAGTTTAGTGTTGCATAACTTCTTTTAAATTATATGTCGGCACTTTAGATTACTTTAGGGAATTAACCAGAATACTTATTAAGAGCTTATAATTACTTTTTTAAATGATACGACAAAACTGTGATAATAAGACTCTGCACAGATTTCCTACCCTGAAGAAGTCCAGACAAGTTAGCTGGACAAAACGTTGATGTGAAAAATTAACATATATGTCCTAGTAACGACTTCTCACTAGAACTCCAGGAGTATCTCCTGAAGTCAGTCACTAATGAGCAGGTGATTATTATCAGGATGGGTTTTGAGGAGTCCCATACTAGGACGAAACGGCCGTTCAGTGCTTCTAGGTTTTCCATGGTGGTCTAGCTTCAATTGACTCATGATTTCAACCAGTGAAATTTCTAAAATCTCCACAAAAACCCATTCTGATATATGTCCTAGTGTACTAAACAATCAATCGAAAGTGTAATGAACCGAGAATTTGGCAAAACCAATTATTTCCGATAAAGGAGAGGAATATATTCAAGAATTTATTAAAACATTGACATTTGTTTAATTGATTATAGTTTTATGGTAATATAATTGTATATTGTAGTATACAAGAAGGGACTCAAATTTCAGTTCTTATAACAATTAAGATAAGTGTTTCAAACGTTTTTTTTTAAAACTTTAGATAGCTGAGAAGATAGTTACAGTAGCTTACACTAATGGAATTAATGTTTTTGAGACTGGAGAAGCTTATTCAAATGGCGAGTAAGTTAAGTGACTGAAAAACATGTATTGTAGTTCTTAGTCATTAAACGTTTTTTTAAATATTTTTATGAACATTGCGCTTCATAATGATTCGACCATATTTCACTTATAGTTATTCGTTTTTGTTGCCCAAAAATGTTCAGCATAAAATTTGATATTTTTGTTGGACATTTTTTCAACTGACATGGTAATCTGAAATATGAATGTTTGGTTAAAAGGGTTAATAAGTATGGTTGAAATAAAACTTGATTCGGCGCAGTAATAAAATCACACATGTAGTTGACTGATACGAGAATAAAGTTTAGTTAACATGTAGATCATATATTATAGCACTAGTAAACATCCGCGTTAGTTACCATGGATTGTGCTACTCTAAGTGATGTTTTCTAGATTAGTCGTTCAATCTGATGAAATTACTTGCCGTCGATAAAAATCGAAGCAAAATGAAAGTAAATATTAAAGTCCGTTCATGATAAAAAGTTAGTGAATTTTTCTTTGTAGTCAACAAAACGATGAGTATAAAGTATAGTGATCAAGTTTGTTACCTGTAGTCACTGAACAACTCTGAAGTATTACCGTGTTCATCATCATGCAAATGAAAAAAACATCTTAGTACCTGAAAATATTGAAAGTAATTAGGAATTCTCTGAGGTATATGAAGAGAAATAATTGTGGTGTTTCCACATGTACTGGGAATATTACGGTACAATGTTGATGTCTTTTGTATGTACATACACGTGCCAGATACTGGTTTGAGGCTACGCAAAAAGCTCGCTTTTCATAGACATATGAAATTGAGAAATCGAAATTTAGACAACCTTTTGTAAATGAGCTCAATTATCACGTAACCCGGATGAACACACCATAACTAACCATTTAGACCATTTAAACTGATCAGTAATATGTCCGAAGCTGATGAATTAAAATAAAAAGATAACTTAAAATATCATAACCGTCAATTGTTATGAAAATAAACATAAAATATGAATAATTGTATTACAAGTAAGTGTAACCCACAAAGCATCACGTAACTAAGTGCCGAAATCGAAAGTACATAGTTTAAACATTAATCTGTAGTAAAATAAAAATTTTTTACTCATTCCTCATAACTAACTCTTTGATGATGAATTGCCAATTAAATAAATTAGCTTTAGTCTAACATTAGGCATATATGATTGTTTATCATTGTTATTTACGGTTATTACTTCTTAAATTTAGCTCAACTGGTATTCTGAAGATGTTCTTGAAACAGTATTTGTCTGCAATAATCACTCTATTTTACTTTACCTATTTACTCCTGATACCCCTCATGGAGCATAGGCCACTGACCAGCACTCTCCAACCCACCCTGTCCTGGGCCTTCCTTTATCCTTGTTCATTCTTCTCATGTCTGTCTCCATTTATCGGCGTAATTTGTTCTTCAGTCTTCCTCTCCTCCTTTGGTCTTGAGGATTCCAAGTAAAGGCTGATCTTTCAACGCATTTGAATGTTTTTCTCAATGTGTATGATATTCACTTCCAGCTCTTCTTCCTGATTTCTTCCTCCGAAGGGATCTTGTTTGTTTTCTCCCACAGTAGATTGTTGCTGATAGTGCCTGGCCGACGGATCCGATGTATTTTGCAGAGATAACTTTTAGTAAACACTTGAATCTGCTGGATGATGTCTTTCGTAGTTCTCCAGGTTTCCACCTCATACAGTAGAACTGTTTTGACATTTGTAATAAAACTACTGACTTTGATGTTGGTTGTCAGTTGCTTCGATTTCCAGACGTTCTTCAATTGCAGATATGCTTCTCTTGCTTTGCCAATCCGCACCTTCACATCTACTCCCAGATATGTAAATGTTTTTACATCCTGCAAAGCTTTTCCGTCAAGTGTGATTTGATTGGTGCATGCTGTGTTGTGTCGGAGAATCTTGCTTTTTCCTTTGTGTAGGTTGAGACCTACTGCTGCTGAGACTGATTCTACACTGATCATCTTCTCCTGCATTTTTCGCTGCGTGTGTGATAGAAAAACTAGATCATCTTCTAAGTCTAGATCATCCAGCTGCATCCTAGCTGTCCACTGTATCCCGTGCTTCCCGCGAGATGTTGACGTCTTCATAGTCTAGTCGATCACCAGGAGAAATAGAAAGGATGAGAGTAAGTAACCTTGACTGACACCGGTCTTTACTTCGAACGAGTCTGTGAGATGGCTTCCATGCACGGAAAATACTTATCAAAGAAAACTGAAGTAATATATACATTTGAAAGATATGTTACATTGTTGTGTAGAATAATTGATATAGCTTATTATAGGATATTGATCTAGAATAATATAAATGTCTATTGCTTGGCTTTTAATGAATTAACAACTGAGATTAGTTTGTAATTTAATTCAACCTTAAGTTTTTCACCAACCCTCACGAAACCGGCTCGTCTAAAAATTGTAAATGGTATAAGGTAATAGTTTCTCGAATTATAGAAAATACATATTGAAGATTATTTTGTTTTAATTTGATTTTAGGGCCGAAAGAACATTGGGTAGAATATTGAGTACTAAAAATTGGCGGTAAGTTTACAAATCAGTGAATTAAAGATGAAAATGACCAGCAGTGCTTTGCACTTATTTTATTCGATAGTAACTATTAATAACAGTTATTCATGAAACTACTCGTTTGTATTGATAGAATTTATAATTACTGTCTTTACTTTATTCAACTATAAACATGAACCATCAGAATACTTGATTAATAATGAATGCAAAAAGTTCAACTTAGTTGAAAACATAACATTGTTCAATTTAGTAGCATGTCTTATTATAGCCATTCAGTTATAATAATTATTGAAGTATTATAGTGAACAGAGACTTGATGAGGATAACCAATTTATAATTAAGTGCAAAATTACAGAGTGCCTTCGTAAATTATGAAAAACATACATTAAATACTTCATCTAAACATCTTTCATCAGTTGTCCATTACATCCTTTATGATTCTGCTAATTCACAATTCCTTTATATTTTCTTTAGTTCAATCTTCTTAACCTTCTTTTATCAGGCATTCCATTTCTGATCAATGTTACATGCTACTTATATATGCCAACATTAGTAGCATACATTACAGTATGACTACAGAGGTTGATAATAAAGGTTTCCAAAACATTTGTTCGTTCCATAATCCTATGTTTTTTCAAATATTCTTAAGGGATTTTTAATTACCTCATCATTAATTAATTAAATTGCTTTTTCTAATGTTTCTAATGTAATTTAAATAGTAGAGTGGAAACATTGAATGTCTTGGGTTCGAATCTCGCGGGGTGCGGGGTCGTGGATGCGTACTGCTGAGGAGTCCCATACTAGGACGAAACGGCCGTCCAGTGCTTCCAGGTTTTCCATGGTGGTCTAGCTTCAGTTGACTCATGATGTAAATCTGTGTAATTAAATGTTAACCAAATAGTTTCAGACAAATTTTATTTGTGTGTTTTAAAATATAAGTACTACAGATTACGTAATCTGAGATAAAAATTAGCAAATAATGTAAACGTTTTGATAATTTATATATTTTCAAAGTAGAACTATTTTATTTAGTTCATCCATGGAACAAACTTATAGCTTTCATAATCTAACCTCCCTTTACCGTTCATTGAAGGTTTAATCAAGTGAAGTGATAAATTAAGAAGTTGGTTTAATGTATTTCACAACCTGAAATTACATAAAACCACATGTTTAGTCTTTTAAAGTTAATTGTACATTTTAATGGTTGAGATCATCAATCATTTGAAGCTAGACCACCATGGAAAACCTAGAAGCACTGGAAGGACGTTTCGTTATATTGTGGGAATCCTCAGACTGATTAGTCCTGGGTTCGAATCTCACGATACGTAATCGTGGATGTGCGCTGCTGAGGAGTCCCACAATAGGACGAAATTGCCATCCAGTGCTTCCAGGTTTTCCATGATGGTCTAGCTTCAATTGACTCATGATCTCAACCATTGAAATTACTATAATATACACAAAACCCCTTCTGATATTAATTGTAAATATTTAATAAAGATTTTCAGCAGCTTCTTATACTATCTGTATAAAAAAAAATCGTGACAAGAATGCTTTAATATACATTATAATATGTACAATGAAAATCAATAAAATGTCTGTGGAATGAAAATAAGAATACACAGTCACATTAAGAAAACGTTTATTCTAGTAATACATAACTAAGTTTTCACAAAAAAACTTTCTTTAAGTTGAGTGGGAAAAGCATTTTTTTTTTCAACGACCAATTTAACAAACTTTTGAAGTCTATTTATTTTTAGATCTTACATTTGGATGAAATAAGTATCAAATATGTAAGACAAAATATTCAGTTATAAAACGGCTGGGGATAAACTCTAGGCTTTCAAGTCATCTAGGTGTATCGTAGTAAATAATTATGATTGTGTTTTCGTTTATTCAGTCACTCAATTATAGATATTTAGAAATAATTTGATTATAGACATTATTGGAGGTATGTCTTTTGTTGTGTTATAAGTTATCTTACATCATGACAGACTGCCATACTATTAACAGTTCCATTGCATGGTGGAATGGTATTTTAGTCATAAAAACCTTTACGTTTTTCATGTAAGCTAGCAAAAACGACAGATAACGTAACACACCCTTCATCATGGATCACGATGGTGTAAATAAATTCTTGGTTCATTTTTGTTGGTAGTCAGGTGCAAGGTCAAAATTGTGAATGAGAATTGAGGGTGTTCTCACCTTAAAAAGCCATTTTTGTAAACTTAAACATCTCAAAAATGGTATCCCTTACTACTTATTATTAAATGATATTCATTTCTTTGATTTTAAGAGTAATTATCATCCTTGTAAGTAGTCTCAGAAATCGTTAGTTAAACGTGAATATTTTATAGCCTTATACAGTACGTGGATTTAGTGTTGTTATTTCACAACATTTATTAATTTAAGACATAAACGTCCAAGCCAATAAAACAGCCATTTGTCATAACACAAATACAGTCGAAGCGTAACTGTGCTAGAAATTACATCATGTTTTCAGGTGGTTGTAACTGAAATTTTCTACAGTTGCGTAATAGATCTGTTAACTGTTTTCCTCCTGATCAATCCTCTGTGACACCGGTTTAATAACATCGCATCTGTTTCAATGAAGCTTTTTAGATATGTTCTTATATGTCAACTATCCAAGCTAATCATACGATGTGTTCATGTACATTTATTTAGGGTTCAAAACCTATTGTAATGTAAAATATTGCAAAATCGAAACTCACTGGTTAGTGTATTTTCATTCAAGCCTATATTTCGGAAAAAACAAGACATAGTACGTTTGCTTCACAAAACTTTACGATGAATGAAAAAAGTCTGTCGGAGCAGAAATAATCGAAAAACTTTTTTGTTGTTGAGGAAACTTGTGTAATAGTTAATTTTATGCAAACTAATTTGCTCATAATCTGTAAATATTTACAATTTAATTGTTTGCTGTAAAGTTATTTATTCCTTTATTCTTCATATTGTTTACCAGAACATCTCTAGCAAACGAAAAAAAAACAAGTAAAAGTATATGACTTACATTCCAAATTTAAATTTTTGACTATCATGAACACTGATATAAGATTTGTAATAGTTAAGGAAAAAAGAGAACCAGAACTGTGGAACTACTTAATTCATTTGTGTTGATTACTTAAACCTTTCTTATAATGTTCCAGATCCGTAATTATTCAGTATCTTTCGGCAAATTCGTGGATTCGAATTGCGGAATGAACATCAACCCCTTGGTGCAAGTAAATCCAACTGATGAGTCCCGATTGTAATGAAACTCGCGTTCTAAGTTATACTGCTAGCTACTATCGATTTCTACTGAAAAATATGGAACTGTTTGTTTGTTATTTAAAAATCTACTATCGTTATTGCTGAAAATCTTCAAATTTCAAACTTGAATAAGTGGTTTTCTGATTCGTACACGAATAGGAAAGATAAAATACATAACCTTTCAATATAAGTATAATATACAGAAATATAACAACATGAAATGTAATCGATAACAATGATTGTTAGTAAAGTACAACACAAAATAAGAACAATTAAAGTAGTAGTTATGTTCAGAATTTTGAGTTATGTCAAACTTATACCATAGTGGTAATTTGCATGTCATTTGTACTAAAAATTAAAATGTCAACAAAGACTTACTATTCTTACCAAATAAATTGATCTAAACAAAAGTAAATCTACTTTACTTGTTATACTGTCGTCTTTAAAAAGATATTGTTCTATACCAACAAAATGTTTGTCATCACTAAATGGATATTTTTAAAAAAACAAATGTAACATATAGAAAGAAATGAAACTATGTATATGTTTGCTTAATTATAAGCTAATGTTGTTCTTACTTAACTTTTTAGATTCATTTCTTGTACTTGACAACATATGATAAATCTGATTGAGATATTAAGATATTTCAGCACATGGTTCTACTTAACAAAATTCATATAGCATAGCAACTAACTTGCAGACTGGATTTTATTCATTCGATTGCTTTTTCATCGATTCAAATATTTTTTTTCTAACAAAATTGTTTCTAGTCATGATAGACATTTGGATTCTTCTCTTGGTAACTATATTTATTAGTTAAAATTTCCTTGGATTATATATTTACCAATAAGCAAACTTAGATGAAATCACTGAGCCGGCATCTAACGGTGTTAATGTCCAACTTCAATCAATCCACGAAGTTACGTCACTGTACACCATTGTCTTCAGTGAGCTGATATCTCACAACAGACCTGGCTGAACTCCACTGGTAACAGCTACAGGAGCATCTCTTGAAGTCAGTCACTAGTGAGCAGCTGATTATTATCAAAAGGGGTATTGTCGAGAGTTTTGATATTTCACTGGTTGAAATCATGAGTCAATTGAAGCTAGACTACCATGGAAAACCTGGAAGCACTAGTACGGGACTCCTCACAAATAAATTGCTTTTATCAAGGCATTTATTATTATGAACAATAAGACATTACCAAAAGGGAATCAAACAGATGCTTCAGTTCATAACAGATCATTTTGATTCTTTAGTTTACTGTTTGTAATTGTACAGATAAAATAATAATCAAGCTTTCCGAATAACTATGGACTACTATTCTCTGAAAGATTTGTAAAACAATGTTTCGTTTCCAGATAGCCAATGGGTTGTATGGTAGGGATGAATTTGATTTGAAAAGATTTGAATTATTACGGGATAATATACAACTTACAAATTTTTCGCAAAATCGCCAATTTTTCGCGGTTTTAAGGACCGCTTATTATCAAGTGATTAATTCGCCAATCAAAATACGATTTATACAATCTTAGTACCAAAGCAATGACATTCGACCGGTATGAGCGACCTAGCGTCCTAATTGATCTTTGTTCACACGGGATCGAATCCGTCAGGGAGCACTGGTTTTCTCACGATTACAGGTGCATCTTGCTAACGAGTGCGAAGTATCACGAAACCAAGGTCCACGATTTCCTGTTGACTACCTCCAACCACCATCTTATGGACTTTTGTTCGCCTAGCCCGGTCCAGTTGAGTCCAGCAGGTCAATAACAGCTCCCACTATGTAAACCATTCATTTCAAACATGCTTGATTTATATACCAGCCAAACTGATCTCATCACACCATAAAATAGGAAATAATATCTACACAAGATTAAACCAAAACGTGGCTGTAAACGTGGGAGACGGTAATTAGTAAACTGAACATAACTTAAGGATAGAAATGTTTATTAGAATCAATGGAAACATTGTCAAGCGATATTTGTTATTCTTAAACTAGATAACACTTCGCCATTTTTTAAGATGAAGTTATAAAATCTCGTAGGGATACTACCCCTAACAAAGGGTCTGAAAGGTTGGGAAAATGAAAATTTCACAAATGCCATGAAAATGATCTTAGTGGCCTCGTAATTGTTTTTCAACGCATGACAATGGGTTCTAAGCGTTTCTTAAGCCCTAAGGCTTCAGGCTGGTTTACTTCGTTTGCTACCCTATATATGTGTCGTATGCAGTATAAGCTATAAGCTAGGCTAAATTGCTAAGTAGAGATTAACGTATCATATGAGACTGGAGGTCCGCTATTGATATTGTGGATGGTTCAGTATTACTTTGGCAAGTTTTGCTGACCGTTTATACACAAAAATCGTTTGCTGGTTAACCAATTTCATTCATACTAGTGGTTACTTTTCATTGTTCTCAAGGACCATAGTCATTGGGACATTTCAATGCATATCACTATTGCTAACATTGATGAGTTTGACTGTCATGTAAGTGGAATAGGTCAACTTAGGCCTGTTCATGCTGTGTAAAATTAAGTAACGCGATCAATGATCGAAATAATTATACATATGATGTGAATATGTACATGAATGGTGCGAATGGTTCATCAGGGTGCTGGGTACCTGTATGGTTGCTTCACAAAATTGCTTTGTACTATTCAGATTATAGCGTTAAAGCCTATATGGTGTCTATATCTCCTGTGAAGCGGGATTGAGCTGTACTGCTTGGATAATGCTTGAGCGGTTTCTGGCTCTCCTATTGAACGGAATCAAGATTTACTGTTTCGGCTGTCACATGAAAGCCTGGATGACGTCCTATTCTCCTAAAAACCAATGTAATATTACTCTGGCACACAAGGATATATTATATAACTGTGAACTAACTATGTGAATAAAGTTTCATAACTGTTTATTTACTGATTGTATAAGTTACCATCAACACCCTTAAGATACTTGTTTATTTCAAAATTGATGTTTAGAGTAAATTTAATTGTCATTATAAGAAAATTGATCGAGGTTTCAGTCCCAATTACTTAGATGACATTTTGTAATTAGATCTATAGTACATTTTGTATGATCATCTGTATTGTCTAGATTTTAAATCTTGGTTAAAAAGTTTCCATATATACAATTAAATTTGTCTGATATTCAGTAAATTTTAGGTATTTTTGTGCATCTTGTCTACTTTGGATAATTTTCTTTTCTAAAAACAAAAATCAATAGTTTTTTACAGATCATATTTCCATTTTGCAAATGAGATTCTTATCAAGGTTAAGTGTGTTGCTATGGATTTTTCTAAATGGATGACGTAATATGATTTTTTTTTAAAATTATTGAACTTGACTGTAACATATTTTTTCCCCTTTCAGAAGATCCAGTTTCATAGTATGCTGTAGATTGTCAAAAAGTGGAGAGTAAGTATCATATTTAATATTAACAATGATTGATTGATTCATTATAATAAATGTTGTTTGTAAAATTTGAAATTATACGAATCAAGAAGTAACAATGTTTTCTTTGTTCTAGATAGATAACAAAGTGACTGTATGGTTATCATCTTTGACTCTTTGACATGGTCAAATATACGCTTGTGATTTAACAAACAAATTTACAACTATCCATACAAGTGATATATTATCATTGTGTATTCCAATGAATCGACTAATTAAAATCTGTTTAAAATTGTTTTATCAAATTCTCTTAATGACAAGGAAGAATAAAGAATACGTCTTTCCTATTTATCATTAATCCTAATAATTCTGATAACATATATATGAATTGTTTTAGAAAAACATGAACCGAACCTAAGTTACAAGTTGTCATACAGTGTGTTTAGTTACTTCAATGAACTTAACAAAATTAAAGCTTTTAAAAGCTGATTATTTAGCTGTCTGACTAAAGAGAAAATAAAGATTGTCACTATTTCGAATCACCTTTAATTGAATTTTCTAAGAGTATTCTTTGACAGACATGAGCTAAAATGGTTGTTTAAGTAACCGGGAAAAAATGTTTATTGTGCCAGTATGTAAGTGTCTATATATTGATTCCTATTTTAAAGATATTTTGTCGTTCTCTTTGTGCAACTTTATACAACGTTTAGCGCTAAAGAATATTAATTAGTGACAGAAAAGAATAACCTTATATTATGGTAATAGTTTCACTGAAACTAAGCAAGCTGGATCACTTGGTATATATTGAAGACTGATTACTTTAAAGTGATTGTGAAATTGTTGAATTGACGTAAGGCTGGATAAAAATGATTTTGAATCAGTCGGAAATATACGTCATTATTCCATAATTTCTTTAGTAAAAATAAATGTTTTTGATCATAATATGAACCGTTCTACAAATATTTTTATTAATTGATATAAAATTAATATCAGATGGGTTTTGCGGATATTATAGTAATTTCAATGGTTGAGATCATGAGTCAGTTGAAGCTAGACTACAATGGAATTTCGTGAATTAGTTGAAGTTAGACATTAACACCGTTGGATGCCGGCCAGCTCAGTGGTCTAGTGGTTAAGTGCTCGCGTACGAAACCAGTAGATCCTGAGTTCGAATCTCGCAATGGGCGAGGCCGTGGATGCGCGCTGTTGAGGAGTCCCACAGTAGGTCGGAACGGCCGTCCAAGGTTTCCAGGTTTTTCATGGTGGTCTAACTTCAACTGACTCATGATCTTAACTATTGAAATTGATATAAAATTGTTGGACGCATCTACATTTTCAATAAATATCAAAAGACATAGTGTGGTGTGTGTTCATGGTATCAATAAATATGTGTAACATGTATCATCAGTTGAAAGTGAGATTTCTGTAGGCAGAAAATTAAGAAGATCAAAGAGAAATAAACGAGAACAGAGAATGATTAGTATGGAAATGAAAGAATGATGAAGTTGGTTACGACTGATCTACATTTTGTAAAAGAACCAGTCAAGTTTGAGACAGTTGATTAACATTCTGCAAATGAAGTGTTTACTGCATTGTATTCAGATTTTACTAACATATTCCTTAATTTTGTATTCAAATACAGTCGATTGTCCCCACTTGCTTACTCATTCACTACAATGATGTCTTTTCATAATGCAATCTATCAAAATCAGCAACTTATAGCAAATTCTATCACCACTCAATGAAAGTTCGTCAACATGATCTAAATTATCTGATATATCTGATTTGATTTAATATCTAAAATTAAAAAAAATTAGAAAGACACAATCTATGAACATAATATTTTATAGTGTAGCAAAGTCAACATAAGTCATTAGGCATTAAAACATAAACATGATATAACACTGGTAACCATTAATCAATTCTTTATTAGAAGTTTAAATATTTCAATACATTCAAACTTCCATTATTGCCTGTTACAAATGGATTTGTCAGAATTTCAAGGCAAATATAAATGTTGTTTCATTTTTGATTGCGGATTAGATAAGCTTGATTATCCAGCTATGTTGAATGTATTGCTTGTTTAACATTCACAAAATACTATTTTATAATTTCATTTATTACTGATGTGTAGTGATTTAAGTAGTTTGAATTTCCATTTGTAAAGTTTATTTTCTCATAGCTGAACATTTAATTTTAAGAGATAGTAGTTATCTTTTCAAGCGACATCTTATTTTGTTGTTAAAAACGTTTTATTCTGGCTGAAGTAAAAGACACTTCAACCCGAATTATAATTAAATTAATACATTTGTAATATCTCAATGAGAAGAAAAAATAAATTTTTTGACGTTCAGTAACTCAATATGAGTCACTTCTTCAAAGAATAAACAACCAAATCAAAATTGATCCAATCAATCAATCAAAAAACAGGTCTGAACAGGTCACATATAATATTTTTGTGTTGTTCCTTTGTACTATTTAAACTTGGATCAATTTTGATTTGGTTATTTGTTCTTCGAAGAAGTGACTTACATTGAGTCATGAAACGTCAGAAAATCTATTTTTTCTTCTCATTAGGATATTACAAATATATTATTTGATTTATAACAATCTACCCAATGCTAAATGTATTAGAAATTATCACGTCAAACCTTGATAATGATACCTACTTTAACCCAAATTCATTATTTAAGTTAAAAAGAAATTTTTAAAAAACAAAGATGGATAGTTGCTAGCAGTGGAATACAAGATTGATCTATTCCAGTCCTAAATAAAAATGGGAAGATGCAAGTGAAGCAGCATCAAGTGAATATAAAAAGGAATCTTGATATTTATGTAAACAGTTTTCGTTGTATATAAGAAACAAACCAACGATAATGACTTAATAAAGTACTCAAAAATCTGAATGTTCATTTTTACTTGTAACATTTGTAAAGTTTCTAAATGAAAAACATCTTAGCGAATCATGTAGTTTTATACCGTTATTGTTTTGGCTTTCATAATAAAGTTCTTTAGTGATTACTGATTCAGATAGCATTTATATTTAATTACATTGTGATTAATAGTGTTGTCATGTATAAAAGATTAACATTTTATGGCATTATTACGTACAATGTTCAATTACTGCTCTGAAAATCTCATTATTGAAATTTATGAAGAGTTTAATTTTGAATCTCTATTAAAAAATACATTACACGTAAAGAACAAATAAACTATGAAGCAATCTGAAATAAAGCATAAATTGTGTCTAAGTGTATTACACTTTAATGCTGACATCTTAATGTTGATATCTACATTGAGGCTTGGACTCGATACATGTCATTTCAAACTTCTAAACTTTCATTACTGAGTAACTCTGTTCAAATAAACACGAATGTGTTCATCAGGTGTGATTTCATTTGCTCTGGCTTATCATTAAAACTCACTAGTGTATTTTAATCAAGTTGAGTACACTCTAACAATCTTTTAAAAAAATAACAGAATAAATCGGACCCTTTAAAAATGTATTGAGGTTCATACCGATTAATACTTCTTTAGTTAAGTTAACACATCATCATTTCTACCTTATGCTATTTAAATTTCATTACCGATTTTTATTTCCAATATTTGTTTACTGATTAAATCTATATGTCTTTTATTTTAGTGCTGAAACTGAACAAGGTCTTTCAAGAAAGCATCTTTTTGAAGGTAAACACTATTCTACGTGTTACTACATGTTTTATAAATTTATATATAAAATTGTTATTGTTTTGCTAGACACTTGTTTTTTAGAATGGTGGTTAGAGGTAGTCAACAGGAAATCCTAGACCTAGGTTTCGTGCTACTCGGCACTCGTCAGCAAGGTGTACTTGTAATATTGAGGGAACTAATGCTCCTTGACGGATTCGACCCCGTGTCACACAGCTTCACAGTCGGAGACGTTACCACTTGACTATTCAGGCCGCGACCAACTTTCTGTAGGACTGAGATGTATTCACAATTGATTGATTACTGGGTGGTGATCAATGCAATGTGTGTCAAGTCTTCCTTAGTGCAGATCGAATGCTTGTTTGTTTTTCCAAATATAATGGATTTAAACTTGATAATACTGAAGAAGAGAACGAATATAATAAATGTTTCATATTCCACTCAAAGTTAAAAGTGTAGAACATCCATTAGCTTATTGAGAGATTCGCATTTATAAATGTAAATTTATTCCTTTCTTATAAATTGTAGGTTTTACCTGTCATCGTACTAAGTGATTGAGGTTTAAAGTCATAATGACTTTTTTAAAAATTAATTTGATTATCTATTCAATTCAATTCCTTTAATTATTCCCAAATACTACAATGTATTTAAGTAAGTATGATAATCTGATTTGTAGTGTCGGTTATTATGTTAAGCCTATATACCTTATTCTAGCTTTCGGACATCCCATTCTGTTCATTGTACTTGAGTCATATTCTGACCTTGTTATTTATTCGCTTATCAATCTTGACTCCTTTTATATGAGCTCGTAGTTGTGTGTACATTTCTTATCCCATTACTCATCACATGTCTGTAACTATAAATATTGATTAACGCTTGATTAAATGAGCGATGGCCTATCCGCGATAACAAACATTCATACGATCTAATTGAAGTCAGATCCACGTGCCATTAAAAATTAAACAATAAAATTATTTTCTGTACGACCTGATAATAGTGTAGTGAACGAGAAGATAAGTGGGGACAACCAAACGTATCGTAATACAACATTTACAGAATCTTTTAGTAAAATCTAAGAACTATAAATTAAATACTTCATTTGCAAAATATCAGTCAATCGTCTCAGACTTTATTGTTCCTTCATTTCTATAACAACCATTCTCTGTTCTCGTCTTCCTCTCTTCAATCTTCCTAACCTTTTGCTGCCAGGCAATTCATTTTCGATTAGTGACACATACTACTTATATCTGTTGACATTAGTAGCACACATCACTATTAGATTATTTATGTGATACACTATCATTATTTTATATAGATTACATTAGATATAAAAAGTACAACAAAGTTCTTATGAAATATTGTGTAATCTAATTATGTAATAAAAATAACGTGTACTTTTTTCAAAAACAAAAAAAACAAACAAATGATGATAGACTAATAATAGGTCAAATAATGATCATATGAAAAGGTAAAAATATTTATTAACTTTATCAATGTCATTGTACTTTGAAAATGTTTCTTCTTAGTGATAAGTTAACCTTATTCATTCATTTAATTATTGGTTTTACAGTAAATACAGTGGTTATTTCACAGTATGCACCTTTTTATTTGTTCTCAATTTAACCTTTATACATGTTGAAGTAAATTTTAATTATTTTATTAGACTATTAGTTTCTATTATTAACGCTGATACTATATCAGTCAGTCAGCTACAACGTAAGATTAGGCATATATATGAATCGGTTCAAGTTGCCATATATTCATTAGCATAACAGGATGAACGCTAAATTCATAATATTAGTTATTTCAGTGGTAGATTGATATAAAAGAAAGATTGCGTATAATGATAAATTACAGGAAGGAAGAATTATTTCGTAGAAAGAAAGACATAAAGTGATTTTATTCTCATAGTTCAATGGAATGCAAAAAAATATATAAAGCTACACCATTGTGATTGATTCGGAGCCATGTCACCCAGAGTCTCCAACCATTGGTTACGACAATCACGTGGACCCTAATCAAGTAGTCTGCATCTAACAAGATGGCTCAGATAAAATTTAATGACTTTACGAATTGATGTCACGTTTTTGTTTGGCTGTCCCTAACATTCTTCCAACCATCTCCAACACTAGTCAACATTGCGCGTCGTGGTAATCGGTGTTCAGGCATACGTAACACGTGGCACTATATAATATTAGTCGAATAAGAATAGTTTCTTACTACTTCCGAGCTTAATGAATAGAATGCTAGAATTTGTATTAATGACTACAAATTTTCCAATGACAATAACCAATTAAAAAGAACAGTTGTAATTAGCTAATAATGCCGGTTCAGTAGTCTAGTTGGTTAAGCGCTTGGCACGAGACTGATAGGTCTTGGGTTCGAATCCCGCGAGGCGGGGTCGTGGGTGAGCACTGCTGAAGAGTCTCACAATAGGACGAAACGGCTGTCCACTTCTTCCATGTTTTTCATGGTGGTCTAGCTTCAATTGACTCATGATCTCAATTGTTGAAGTTTTCTTATTGTTTATTTCGAAATATTTCTCTGAAAATAACGTAAATAATCTTAGTTTAGAATAAATAAACAAAATATTCTTGAAATATATATATATACAACACGAATTGGGAAGCTGTTCTTTTTACTGAAAGTGTGCTATATGTCCCTTATTTCGACATGAGTAGTATATAACGATAGTCAGGATTAAAATGTCTGGCAGCAGAAGGTCGAGAGAGAAAAAAACGAGAACAGAAAGCAATTTGTATGAAAATGCAAGAACAATGAAATTTCAGACAATAGATTGATATTTTGCAAATTATGTATTTACTGTATAGTTCTCAGATTTTAGTAAGATGTTCTTTAATTTTGTGTTGGAATACTTTCCATTGTTCACCACTTGTATTCTCATTTACTACAAAAGAACTACACATCTATAAAAAAAGTACTTAAAAGGCTTGAAAAAATATTCCAGTAAAGCCTGATATTAAAGTATAGTTATGTTCTGATGCACAAATAGAAATAATTATGACATTTTGAATCAGTCCTATTTTTATGCAGTTTCCATATACAAACTAATTTAAACAACTTTACGTATTCAAATAACATGTCTTAATACTTTCACAAAATAATCTGATGGAGCTCGTTTGCAAGCGTCACATTAAACATTTTGTAATATATAGACGTTTGTAAGATTTTAGATAATCGAGAATGGTAAAGTAGTTTCTGGAAAATCTCTCTTACAACAAACTATCAAAACTTATTACTAGCTACTTTGATTATTCATAGTGTAGGTTATTTGATAGAGATTTATTGACATCAATGCATAAGTGGTACATTAGAAAGAGAACTAGCGAATGTGAAAAGGTGTTCAATGAACAATAAATACCCATAGAAATTTATTAAGTATGCAAAACATGAAGATAAAAAACCCAAAGAAACTACAATGAAAAAGAAAACTATTTTTATCCAACCTAAGTACAACGGTGATCCTGTAACATGTTCAGTCAGCATAAGACTAAAAGCTACTTTTGTTCTGCAGCTAAACTGATTATCTTGTCCAAAAAACACGTTATTCAACAAGATCAAAGATTGATAGGTAACTCTTCTTATGTTTCCACCAACTATGTTTACGAATTCATATGTATTTGCCAAGCACTTTAATTGGTAGAACAGAAAAGATAGCCTAAGTGCTATCCAAAGAATATATTCCAGAAAGTCTAAGGTCATGTGGAGTGAAAGCATTCAGCTGTTCCATCTCGAGACATCTTTTTGATACAGGATATCAATTGGATACATTGAAGTCTTTCAAGTTGATCGATGAGTAACTGAACTCCAATATTCTGAAATTTGTCAAAGCTATAGTAAGCAAACGTCTAAAACGGGAACTGTATGTTCAAAAAGAAACAGTAATAAGTCCTTATTTGCCCTGATAATATTACATCCTTTTTATTGCGTCATTCATTATTTCAACTCTCTCTGAAGTTCTGATTATATCACTGTCTTTTTACTCTAATTCATAACTGACTAATTTCAAGCCATATCTTTGTTTATTACCATTAATCTCCTTTGAGTTACTTCATTACATAATCATCTAATGTTTGTTAACTCTGATTCCTGATCACTAGTTGAATGTTCTGGAAATTTCCATCTCAAACTTTATTTATTTATCTAAAACAATTTTAATGACGTTATTAACTCTATTGGAATCTTCACTACATCATGACGCACATGAACACCTTCAACCACCTTTGTATTTATAAGTATGTCAATATCTGTAATAAGTTTGATTTTAAAATATTACAGGTTATAAGCAACTGATGAGGACCTAACAAAATGAATTCAATTCATATTCTGGGCTGATCTTTGTTGATAAAGGGAACTATATGTATGAAAGGTGAATACTTAAATCTGATAGAAAGTGATACTGTTTTTGAAATAGATTAGTCAGATAAACTGGATTATTATATTGTTACATTTGTAGAAAGCCCACTACAATAGAAATACGTTGCGTAGCTTTAACCAATAGATATTCATTTGTGAATCAAAGTACTATGCTTCAAAAATCTACTTCGGGGCTTTTTAAAATATAAATGATAACATTTTTGTCAGCCGCCGAAAAGCTGGAAGTACTGAAAAGTCGTTTCGTCTTATGAGATGGTAGAGACGTTTTGTGGCTCAGGTGAATGATTTTATTGGGGTTTTGTTTTCTGAACTGAATGGTTAGGTCGTGGAACTTCCATCGTTATTCTAAACAACATCACTAGCACAAACCTCAGGTAGGAGTAAAGTGTTAGGATTTCTCCATCAAGAATCCACAAAGAATCAAATCAATGGGAGATAAAATCTAAAAAAATAAGTAAAGAATGACAGGTTAAAGGTCAACAATAACCAATCAAGATCGAGGTCAATAGAACAAACTGTGAGCCATATGTGGAGAAATTTGAACACTTCACTTCTACCTGAAGTTTGTGTTGATGATGTTGTTCAGGAGAACATAGAAAGCTCCACGACTGAACCATCTAGCTCAGAGAACAAAACTGCACCAAAATCATTTTGTCTTAGTATGATACTCGCGGCATTGCACATCAACAACTTAACATGCAGGGCTAGAACTCAGGACTTTCGGTTGTGTGAGAGAACTTTTACCCCTTTAGATGTATAAAACTACCTTCGAGGTTGTCAGTAGTGGTCTAACTTAAACTGGTTCATGATTTAAATGTAATATATTTAAGATTTACTCTGTTTTTAAGTCGTTATTTTTAAAGGTGAAAGACTAGTCTTACTCAATTAAATACTGGTTCTCTGAAATCTTTATGTTTTAACAAAAGGAGCGACACTTACTATTTTGCTTAGAACTTTAATCAACAATAGCGGGTGCCTACTGTCTAGTTTTGTGCAATTCGCAGCTATCATTTATTTATTAAATGCTTTTCTTACACTATTTTAAGAATGTATCCGATATATTTTGTGAAACAGGTCTTCGGTCTTCCTTAGAAAGACTTCAACTAGAATACGTAGATATTGTGATTGTTACACGTCAAAACGAATCATCGATTCCAGTTGAAGAAGTTGTCAGAACTTGCACACATCTTATTCATCTTGGTTGGACATTTTATTGGGGTACATCTGGATGGTTACCTTGTGAAGTTATGGTAAGATTTCATATGTTAAGATTACGAGTTTCTTATTCATGAAATCATTTGGTTAAAATGTCATATTGAATAAATTAGAAATACTTAGATGGGAATAAAACAGTTGGAAAGAAAATTTTCTATTGTCTATTATATTTATCAGCCTTCTGATTATCAGATTAGAAAGACAGTCATATGACAAAAGAGTTTGTACAACGTTAATCAGATGATATATTTTATTTTCATATATTTTTATATTAAAAAGCGGGAACTGTAGGAACTCGCTGAAACAAGATAGTCCGATTCTTGGAAAACAGAAAGTTTAGCTTCTTTAATATCTTGATCTTGAAATTCTTTGAAACTGTCACATTACATTTTCAAAATTACTTGATTGGAGTAAAACAAGAAAGCTTCTAGTTTGACAATCGCTCCCCCACCATAAGATTTTAATTTATTTTTTAAAATAAAAAAAAAGTATATTACTATTTTTCAAAGATTTTCCGTTGATACATTGTAATAACTAAAGCGCAGCTAAAGTAATATCACTGAAAATTTGATTGACAAAAACAGAAGAATTTGAAGAAACTTATTAGTGAAAATAAAGAAATGATGTTCTAGGATTACATAATGTATATAAAAATATGTGGAATGGTATTCCACATGACGGAATGTATGATAAATAGTATAGAAATAGGCATTTAGGCATACTTACTTACTCCTGTTACTCCTCGTGGAGGAGCATAGGCCATCCATTCAACTCCGTCCTGGGCAATCCGTTCCGATTCTTTAAAGTTGTTATTTATCCTTTTCATATCTGCTTCTATTTTCCGACGTAATGGCTTTCCACTTTTCCACTTCCCCTCAGGATTCCAAGTTAGGGCTTACATCGTGATGCAGTTTGATGATTTCTGTACTGTATATCCTATCCTACTCACAGTAGGTTGTTGCTGATGATATACGGTCAATGAACATTGAGTATATTATGTAGACAAACCTTTATGAATATTTGTACCTTTTTGATTATGGTTGTATTAGTTCTTCAAGTTTCAGCTCCGTAAAGTAGGACTGTGTTGACGTTAGTATTAAATATTCTCATTTTGATCTTGGTTGAAAGTTGTTTTGAGTTTCATATGTTCTTTAATTGTAGGATACGGCTCTTGTTTTGTATTCGATGGTAAAAATATTTGAGCTATTAAAAGGGAACTTTCATTGCATACTCTTTGTTAAGAGTTCTTTTTTACATTCACTTTGCTACGTTAATTTTTCAAGTAAATAAATGTTTCCGTTAGACATTTTTCCAATTCTTGTAAACGTACATGGCATCTTCTTTTATATATGATAAAATTAAACTTAATAGTCTAGATGTTGACATATTAAAATAAGACTTTGCAACCTTTAACGACTATATACAGATCAGAGAATTCTATCAGAACGTTGATTATGTCCCACTAAGATTCAGCTTGATATGCTTTTTGACTAGATGCTTTGTGGTTTATTGAATTTGATCAATTATATTCGATGTATTTAAAAAGTAAAAATGAGACATGGTAGTTTATTGTAAAAACTTGGGTTTGAGTATAAGTCTTTCACATTTCAACTTACAGCAATCAGTTGATCAGCATTACTAAAGTTTCAAAGATAGATTTTATTTTATTGTGGTGGATAGCATGAGAAACACATGACAAATATCTAAAAAATGGAATCTTTTGAAAAGTTTGTTCATCCACTTAGCCAGAGAAACAAGAAAAAAAGTACGGGCGAAACTGAGGTAGAAAAATTAAAAATATACTTAAGGAACTATATACAAACTCAGTTAACTATCTCTTGGTAGTACATTTTTCAAAGTAACTCTCCTAAATCAATTGGATTATTAAAATTTAATCTATTGAAATAAGATAGACAAGTTATCAATACTGTATATTTATCAGTTAACTAAAACGTCAGCAAATCATTCAAGCCAAGTGCTCACAACTAGATCAACTTCGTTGTTTTATTCATTTAACTTTGTTTAAATGATCTTTAAAATTCTTTATAAATTCCAGTATACTTACTTTAAAAACAAACTTCTATTATTCAATATTTGTAAATAATATGGTTAGTTTATCAATCAATTCATTAATTACACCTATTAGATACAAAATTTATAAACAAAGATTGCTGGCAGTGAAATCCACGATGCGCGTTTCCTCCTATTTGGGACTCGTCAACTGGATGTACCTTCATCTCGGAGTTGATGTTCACTCTGTGTTTTGAACCTAGTACCGTTCTCTTCAAACGCCATCGCGTTATCCACTTAGCTACTGATTACTGATAGTCACTTGCTTGTGCAATGGGGTGAAGTTTAAATTCACTTGGTGTTGTTTACTTGTATTTTCTCATTGTTTTTAGGACTGCCATTGATCAGTCTCTTGGTGGCATATGTCAAGACTCAGTAGCTAAGTGGATAACGCAATGGCGTTTGAAGCGAACGGTCCCAGAGTGAACATCTACTCTAAGATGAATATGCATCAAGCTGACGAATCCAAAATAGGACGAAACGCACGTCCTGGATTCCACTGTTAGCCACTATCCATCTTTGCTTATGTAGCTTGACTTCAGGTTATATCCAAGCAATCCTCACAGGATGCACATATACCGACAAGAGATTGATCAGTTGCAATCCTAAATGACAATCGGAAGATACAAGTAAATAACAGCAAGTGAATTTAGATACAACGTTTTTTAAAATTTTAACTGCTTATCCACGAATTTTAAACCAAAAAAGGGGTCATTTGTTTGTTCTTCATTCAAATCATAGTCAACCAGCATATTTTTACTAGTCTGATAAACTGCACATACAAGATCGTCATTTTATCAGTTATTAAACTATTTGTAAGAGTTTTCTTTTATTAGGATACAGTGTTCTCTAGAATATATATATATATATATATATATATATATATATATATATATATATATATATATATATATACATTTATAACAAACCGTAAGACAGTGTATAATAAGTGTACAAGTATATCCTTGTGGCGAGACGATAATTTATGGACGAATCAATCAGATTTACAATAACAGGTTGCTAGGCTTGACCGATAGGCTAGACCGATAAGCTAGCTATTTGATGCGTCCTAGCCCCGTTAACTAGAGGAAGAAGTACAAACTTGCAACGGGAAGGTATATTCCGTAAGCCAGAAGCACGAGTGAATAATAACAGGCACAAATCAAACGTATATATATACAGCATAAAACTGTCTTTGGGAAGCGTAGCAAAAATAGCATACTAAAAATACACGACGAACCTATAACGTTAAAGATTCTCCCAAGTCGGAAATACGACATGAAGGTGAAAAGAGCGTTTTTGGCGCGAAAACAGGAAAATTTGAATTTCCAAAATAAAATTACAAATTAAAACATTTACCAAATGAGTTCTGGGGATCTAAAATCTCCAACATGGTTCCTGAATTTCGGAGTGGAATTCATTCATCCATTTGACTAAATAACATCTTGACATTTTAGCTAATATTAGTTCGTGATGAAAACTCTAAATCTAATCCCTATCCCTTACCATCATTTGTAAATCATAATCCTTATCCTTCACACTGGTTTAAAACCTTCATTTAAACCCAATAAGTAGGTGGACATTCTCAAAGTAACTTTAACGTTGATCAATGGTTGTCCATAAATTATAGTTATTATTTTAATGCATCATTATTCAGATTGTATGAATTCACCATATTTATATCCAAAAAGTTTATAATTTCCTTTCTTTTTTTTCACTGTTTCATTAGCAAGCTCAAACAGTTGCCAGACAATTCAATTTAATTCCACCATCTGTAGATCAAAATGAATTGAATTTATTGAATAAAAATTATTTGCAGAATATGCGTGAAATTTGTTTAAAACTAAGTAAGTATATGAGAAAAAGAAGGAAGAAAAACAAATATATTTGACCATTTTATTCTCTACTATGAAATCAATGTTTAAAATATAATGCATCAGATTTTATAGTTAAACCAGCCTATATAATTTACTATAAGTATGTGTATGAAACGCGATAGTACTGTGAAAACGTTCTCTTAGAGGTTATCATTTTTATTTAAATATCTGCATTATGTAATAAACATTGATCAAACAAAATAATTTTAACATTTGAATTCATATGTCGTTTAAAGTAGGTCCACTGTGGAAAACCTAAAAAAACTGAACGGCAGTTTTGTCCTCGTGTGAGACTCCTCAGTAGTGTGAACTCACGATCCTGCACATAGGACTCGAACACAGGACTTTCGGACTCGTGGGCAAACACTTAATCACTAGACTATTGAGCTGGTTGACATTTAAATGTATCTAACTTCAACCAATCTACAATATTGCAGGATGGAATATTCACAAAACCCTATTCTGAAAGTAATTTTAACTTTTATTGAATTGTAACTAAATAATTTGTTTTTAATCTTTATAAGCTGTAAACACGCAAACTCGTTGAAAATTATAATGAGCGCTAAATATTTGAAATCAACATATAAATCAATGCTCATTATCTTCAGCTTAAACTATAGGTGTTTTTCAAGAAATGAATTTAAATTAAATCAATGATGATTTTTCAATCTTTTCATCGTTACAACGATAAAGTTTTATTCATTGTTTTCTTTTTAAAATTGGTAACTATTTGTCACTAAGCAAGATATTATAATGATTACATTTTAAGATCGATAATTGTTTCTTCACATTCATTAAATCGTTATTTCTTTTCTTCACGTGTATAAAATATAATTAAGAAAGAAATTATGATAGTTAAACTTTCAAAGCAGCTAGTTGAATAAAACCACAGTCTACCTAAAATTATTTTGACGATGATCAGGTGATTTGATGAATACGTTAGAATATATGATCATGTTTGATCAACTGATGAAATTATAATGAGCATAATGTTAAATTCAAATTGTAATTCAGACAACTTACTTACTTACTTACACCTGTTACTTCTAATGGAGCATAGGCCGCAGACCAGCATTCTCCAACCCACTCTGTCCTGGGCCTTCTTTTCTAGTTCCATCCAATTCTTGTCCATTTTTCTCATGTCTATTTCCATTTTCCGGCGTAATGTGTTCTTTGGTCTTCTTCTCCTCCTTTGCCCTTGGGGATTCCATGTGAGGGCTTGTCTTGTGACGCAGTTGGATGCTTTCCTCAATGTGTGTCCTATCCACTTCCAGCTCTTCTTCTTGATTTCATCCTCCGCTGGGAGTTAGGTTTGATATTCAGACATCATTCATTAATTTCTTCATCTATTATGCATATCATAATCATTTGCATAAAGATTACAAATGATTATAGAAGAAAGATATACATGAAAGAGGAAGAATATATATTTATAAAATCTTAGTGAATGAATTTGAAGTAAATCCAACTTTTCGCCTGGCACTCTGGTACAAGCTTTTTTAAGGAAAATACAATCAAACAACATGGTTCTTTAGTTTACTGTATACATGGATTTAGAAAGAAATATTGTCTTCTGATTTCAAATTTTATTTAACCACGATGTTCAAATTTGATATGTGGATAGTATTAGACTGGATTTAATAGTATAAACCAGACAGTTAAATATCTTACAGAATATATAAAGTTTGGATCTATAAATAGAAAAATTTTAAAACAAAAACTTCAGTCGAGTTCACGTTATATATCTTGAAAGAATCTGAGTATAAATTAGTACCCGATGATGTGTTCAAACTATGATAGTGTTTCTACATGTTTACTTAGGTTTTTAAGAATACAAAAAAGGTTTCTGTAAACCTCTAATGTCTCTTGTAAAACCAGTGCATGTATTAAACTACTAAATGAAGTGTATTGTCTAAGTATGAATTACTTCTGTCGTGTGCTAGTTCGAATATTATCGACGTTTATCCACTTAATTCAAATAATTCCAATATCGTGCTGGCAGTGATAGATTCATGGGTTTCCTATACTGGAACTTGGTGGAATATTTTGGTCAACAATATTTGGATTGTTTTTGCATCAAAATATATAATGATGTCATTAGTCATTTAAATATTGAATAACGTATTTTCGAGTCAATTTAACTGTCGGTGAATATATGTTTTTATCAGATAGCTGTGATTATCAGTCTTTAATCTGGTAGAATTAAGCAATGGAAAACTCTCAACCTAGGTTTTGCGTTAGTTGAGACATGCCAGTAAAGACTGCCTGTATCCTTGAGGGAAGTAATGCTTTCTAAAGAATCAGAACCTATTTCATTTTGATTCACATTCTGAGATATTGTCAGGTTTATCTGTAGACTACTTTCAATTAACTAACATTTCTACATATTACAAGCGATATTGGATTACTTGGTTTAGTAGCCACATTGTAACTTAGTTGAATGAATTCGACTAGCATCAAAAGACCTAAAACAAAATATGACACTGGTCACTATTCAGTCATTAACCAATAATAGTTACTAGTAAACAATAGTTTTCATAAACTGATTTGTTGATTGTAATAAATTTCAATCGTAAGTGACTATAATATATCATTATATTGTACATGTTTTCTTTAAAATATTTTAGATATTGGTATTATGACAGGATCACCGTTAAGTGGTGGCATTTTAACCGGAAAATACATTGACTGTATACCGAATTTTTCACGAGCCACATTAAAAGTGAGTTTCTGATTGTAAATTTCTATCTGGCAGAAAACTAATTATCGATTTAATAATGATACAGAAGTTTTATGCAAAAACAATTATATTCACAGTTTGAAATACAGTAGTCTACGAAGACAAACGATAATTTTTAGTATCATTTTATAATAATCTGTTGGTTAGATCAAATACAAGTCTAAACAGATTTAAATATGATTTCAATCTGTGAAATATCAAAAATCTCCACAAACCTCTTCTGATAATAATCATCTGTTCACTAGTGACTGACTGCAAAAGATACTCCTGGAGTTCTAGTGAGAAGTACTTACCAGTGGAGTTCAGCCAGGTCTGTTGTGAGATATCAACTCACTGAAGACAATGGTGTACGGTGGCACAACTTCGTGGATTGATTGAGGTTGGGCATTAACACCATTGGACGCTGGCTCAGTGGTCTAGTTTGTTAAACGCTTGGCGTGAGACTGATAGGTCTTGGGTTCGAACCTCGTGGAGTGCGAAGTCGTGGATGCGCACTGCTGAGGATTCCCATACTAGAACGGAACGGCCGTCCAGTGCTTGCAGGTATTCCATGGTGGTCTAGCTTCAATTGACTCATGATTTCAATCTGTGAAATTTCTAAAATCTCCACAAACCCCTTCTGATAATATTTGTTTAGTTGAATGATCATTCGTAAGATAGTAGAGTAGATGGTGGGAAAAATGAAGTGAAAAAGCATTTATCAACAGAATATTCGTACAACTACTCTTTGTAGTTAGCAAAAAGTGTTTACCATTTATCAGATGGTAGGATGAAATTTTGTTTAATTGGTAATGTGATCTTACTGAAGATAATGTGGATGTTTGTATAAAAGAAAAATATTCAGAATAATCTGCCAATAATCAGATGAAATGCATTTTACCTGTCATTATTTTCAGAGTTCTTAAAAGGATTCATATAAGAATAAGGGATTAGGAAATGGTGAAATTCTGCATTCAGTTAGAGGATGAAAAATCGATTTATTCTTAAGGAATTATACGAATAATAAATGTGTAGTAATTTATTTTTATTAATTATGAACTTTTTATTTAAAGCAAAGGTGGATAGTGGTTAGCAGTGAAATCCACGATGCGCGTTTCATCCTATTTGGGACTCGTCAACTGGATGTACCTTCATCTCAGAGTTGATGTTCACTCTGTGTTTCGAACCCAGTACCGTTCTCTTCAAACGCTTATCTGTTGAGTCCTGATTGTGGACATCAACTCTGAGATTCAGGTACATCTGGCTGACGAGTCCCGAATAGGACGAAACGTCCGTCTTGAATTCCACTGCTAGTCACCAACCTTCTTTGCTTATAATGCTTGTAAATTGAGGCAATCCGCACAGGATGCACATATGCAACAAGAGATTGATCAATTCCAGTCCTAAATGACAATGGGAAGATACAAGCAAACAACACCAAGTATATTTAAAAAAACGTTTTTTATTGGTTTTAGAATCAAGAAGATATACGTGATAAACTTCTATGTTCAAAAGGTATCAATCAAAGGGAACAAGTTAAACAACTATGTAAGATAGCAAGTAGAATGAAATGTACTTGTGCACAATTAGCTATTGGTAAGTTGTAACATACCTTTCCACCATACAGATAATATATATGCTGTGAATTGTGAGAGTGAAGTCATTTACTGACTAGTTTTAATATTACCTTACTCAAATCAATAATATGGCCGGATTTTATTGACTATGAGTACTGATAAGCATCTACAAAGGTCTTGGGTTCGAATCCCGCGGGGTCCGGCATCGTGGATGCGCACTGTCGAGGAGTCCCATACTAGGACCAAACGGCCGTCCAGTGATTCCAGGTTTTCCATGGTTGTCTAGCTTTAACTGACTCATGATTTCAATCTGTGAAAATTTACAAAGATTGTTTTAATTTAATAAGACAAATAGCTATTATTTAAAAAGAGAAACAATACGAAGAAAAATGTTGGGTTTAATGGAAGTTTGGTTTGTTTATCATTTGAATTGCAAATTTTATTTTCTTTGTGATTTATTGAAATGATTTAAACTTATGGAAAAATGCTACAACAAACAACGATATTGTAACCTTTTCTTCATAACTTTGCAATAAAAACGGTCACTTAATGTTTTACATTTTAGATTGGGTAGAATACAACATCCTAGTAGTGTCTCAACAATGTAATAATATGTTATGATTTTATAGATACCCTAGTACAAATTGACTTTTCCTTCTATTCATTTAAAAATGTGTCTGATATTTTAAATTTACTCACTAGTGACTAGCTGTGTGGAGGAATTCTTGGAGTTCTGGTGTGAAGCCGCGACCAATGGAGCTAATCTGCGTCGGGTACAGACAGGTATCTACATCAGACAATGGAAGATGGTCACACAATTTCGTGGATTGGTTAAAGTTAGACATTAACACCTTTAGATATCGGCTCAGTGATCTAGAGATTAATTGTTCGCGTGCGAGACCGAAAGTTTTGGGTTTAAATCTTGTATGAGGGACCATGGGTGCGCACTGTTGAGGAGTCCCCTATTAAGATGAAATGGCAGTCCAGTAAATTCAACTTTTCAAAGATGGTATAACGTTGACTGTTTCATGATCTGAATCAAAAACTTAACAATCTCCGCATTCCCACACTGAAAATATTTAAAAATTTAATAATGTTACAGTTGATTGGTAATAAACTGCAAGAATTAACCACGTCACATCCTATTGAAATAACACTTTTTAACTGGCACAACGGATAAACACATAGCTTAACATTTCGTTAAAACAAACTATTTTAAATTTGTTCATGAGCACCTTTAGTTAAATTTGACTGTACTCTATAAAATAAGTTGATTCTATTCGTCCTTCTCCGTCATTTTTGAATGTGTAACAGGAACTACATGTTCAGAACTAGCTTTCTAAAATTTCACTATATTATGCCTTTAAAATTAAAAAAATCTGGTGCTTATTCCATTTGATTTACTTTTTTTCTTTGTGTGCGAATCAACTTGTTAGCCTGGTGTCTTCGCTGTTCACATATTAGCAGTGTTATTATCGGAGCGGCAACGGTTGATCAGTTACATGAAAACATAAGATCAGTATTGGTAAGTATTTAAAAATATTTCTGGGAAAATTCCAACATTATTGGTAAAAGGATAAATAAAAATTATTTGAGTATTTAAAGAAGATTCGACGAGACTATAACTTATGGACGAACCAATCACGTTCAAGATAACATGTCCCGGATTTGGCACGAAATTCACTCATCCATTTGGATAAATAGAGTTTTGGCATTATAGCTGATATCAGTTTGTGATGAAAACCCTAAATTTAATTCCTAACCTTAATCATCAACTGTAAATGATAATTTTAATTCCTCACAGGTTTATAACCTTAATTTAGCCCTAGTTATTAGGTGAACACACACAAGGTCACTTTGGCGTAGTTCAAAAGTCGTCCATAAATTATAGTCTCATCGACGATTCAGTCAAATGGCGAGTATTCATTTTACTCAGTGTTTTTCGCGAACAAAACTTTAGGGTCGTATTCTGCGATCGCACTAAACAGCTAAATAACTTGATGTTCAAAGGTTAAGGAATCGTACAGTTTGAAATTGTTTTCTTCAATAAATCAGAAAAGAGTAGTGTATTTAACATTCTCAACTTATTACCTCATTTGTTATTATGGTTCTTCATGTTCGTCATTCACTGATGATTATTTGTGTACCGTTACGTGAACATTTTACTATCGTTTACTTAAAGCGATATATATTAATGTATACACATTTATATTGAAACACTAACATTGAATGTACATATGTATGTTCACATGTGGGAAGCTAAAATAATAAAAACTCAGACATATACTGTAGTTAACCAAATTACAAGAGAATATCAGAAGAGCTATTAAGTAATGTATAATTTTCAATGCCTTTCCAGGTGAATTCTATTTGTGTCATAAATTGTACAGATTTCGCTTTATATTTCGCTACCGCCTATTTTATTATTCACCATTTTTTCTGTTATATTGAGTAGCCTAGTAATCAATAAATTATTATCTTCATTAAACAACTTAACGTTCAAGTGTAGGAGTGTTATTGAAGCAAGAAAATATGACAATTCAATATCTATTTCGACTAATTAATACGTAAAGCTGGTGAAGATTGGTGAACTAAATTGGATGAAGTTTTATGATTTTTCATTACCTATTTTAATAAATAGACTTAAAATGAATTTTAAGCAAAGATGGATAGTGGCTAGCAGTGAAATTCAGGACGCGCGTTCCGTCTTATTTGGGACTCGTCAACTGAGAGTACCTTCATCCCATAGTTGATGTTTACTTCAGAACCTAGTACCGTTCGCTTCAAACACCACCACGTTATCCACTTAGCTACTTAGTCCTGATAGCAATGGGTGAAATTTAAACTCACTTGGTGCTGTTTCCTTGAATCTTCTTATTGTTGTTATGGACTACACTTGGTCAATCTCTTGTTGGCATATATTCATCTTTTGTGGATTGACTCGTTATTGAATTTATTTATTACAAGTATCAATATCAGCTTCTAACATTTCAGTGATAAGTGATAAATTCAATGATTATTGAGATCGAAATGTACATCAAATAAACTAATAAAATATTTGTTACTGATATCATAGTTACAAACACTCTTCCCACACACACTGAATCTTCTGAATCAAACAAATACTATATTCCAAGTAATAACTAGTTAAAGAAAATCTTCAAATCCAATGGATTGAATTATTTTTCCTGGTTAGCAATTGTTTTTAGCGAGTTAGTTTTGTACAAGATGGGATCGTTAACTCCATGCCGAACCCTCCTCCTTTATTCAAGCTTGAGATTGGCATTAGCCATGGAGAAGCTTCAGGTAGGATTCAATTCAATGAATCCATATAATTTTGATATGAATTTAAATCTTGATTTATTTTAATTATTAAATGAGACATTCATATGTCTATTCACTTTTATTCAATTTTTTTTATTATTTTTTATGAATTAGATTTATCCACATTTAAATGCAAGTATCATATCGGAATTAGATACACTATTGAATACAACTGACTCAAATGATAATTTCCTTTAAAACAAAAAATATCATAAATTGTATTGATAAATATTATAATTAACAATTAAAACAAGAGGAAATAATAATATTTTACTTAATTTTTAAAAAAAAACACAACACGGTTGGCAACTAAATGGGGAGGTGGAGAAGAAGCAGAAAAATGGATGACCAATTGTCAGTTATTTTTACATGATTATTAAATTCAATCAAACAATTTTGAATAAAATCCGTTTACTATAATGAGTAATGGGGATAAATATAAACTGAGATAATAATTTTAAAAGTTTATATAAGTTTTGATAGAATGATTTATCTTATTTATGTTTATCTAAAATGTCATGATGTTTTAGATGAGTAACGGTGAAATTTACATTTTCAAACAAACTACCTTATAGTATGTTTAGTTTTTGGAAACAAACTTAGTTATGAAATAAAAGAATAGAGAAAAATACGTGTCTGATTATCTAAACAATTATATATATTATCAGACGGAGTTTTGTGGAGATCTTAGAAATTTCACTGATTGAAATCATGAGTCAATTGAAGCTAGACCACTATGGAAAACCTGGAAGTACTGGAAGGCCGTTTCGTCCTAGTATGGGACTTCTCAGCAGTGCGCCTGGTGCGAGACTGATAGGTCCTTGGTTCGGATCTCACAGAGTGCGGGACCGTGGATACACACTGCTGAGAAGTCCCACAATAGGTCGAAACGGTCGTCCACTTGTTCCAGGTTTTCCATGGTGGTCTAGCTTCAATTTACTCATGATTTCAATCAGTGAAATTATATATATATATTAGTATGTATTGGTGCTTTGATATATACACTAAATATATATGCCTGCAAGTACAAAGTGTTTTAGTGGCCCTGTATCTGACTAGATTGCTATTGGAATATTCATGTTAATAATTCTCGTATATAATTATCAACTTAACTGGAGTTTGTGAATAACAGAATTGAATAAGTTGAATATGAGGATGAAGTTTGAACATGTATATATTTTGAACAATCGTTGATCGAAATGCGAAGCAAAACTAAATGACGTATGGTAGAGAAAGCGAATGAGCCAACTTGTTTTTATCAAGCGTAACTCCACATTTATAGTCAGGCAAAAATACGTTATGAACACATGATGAATAGGGTAAGTAATTGGCACACATAATATAAAAACAGTTTGAGTTAATAAGCGAATAAACGACAGAGTAAAAATATGGCTTGAGAATAGTGAATAGATTGATCTGTCCAGAGATTAGAATAACCTACATGGGGTTGACATAGGACCAGCCCCTACAGTGTTATTTCAAAAAATATCATGATGATTTCTAAAGGTAAGTTTTTGAAGAATAATGCTCATAACTCAAACTGTCTGGCTATAAAGAATTTGTATGAATGATATGTATAACATATGATTCAGTAAAATATACTGTTTAGTATTTATTGAAGAGGCAGTTTAATTAATAGAAAATTAAACATTGTGAGTGAATCAGAAAAGCTCTGTACCGTACATAACATAAAACGTCAGAATAAACCTTTTGTTTGTTTTACTTTTAAATGAACCGTTAAAAAGATGGAATGAACTCAAAATGTTTGTAGCTTTGACACAATTTACAAACGATTTGAGCAATCCAACAGTACTCTATGAACAACTAATAATTTTAAATACTTTCCATGCTGGCAACATCATTTTATGCCAAAGGTTTACGGTTATTTTTAACCAGATACAAAAAGAATTTCATGAAAGAACAAGTTTTGTTTTACCTTCAAATACAGTATAAAATTATATTATAGAAGGCTTCATAATATTTGGAAGCAGCTTGTAACTATTTCAATAAATGACGTGTTTTATTTTAGTATGTTTAGTATGGTTAATTGTTAGCTAGCTTAAAATCATTCGCATTTATCAATAAACTTCACTATGATAATTAGTCAGTCAGCCAGTTACAACGTAGGACCAAGCACATATGTGCATTTGTTCAAGTTGCCATATCTCATTAGCACAGCAAGATGAACACTGGATTCAGAGAAGCAGTTAACTCAATGGTGGTGATATATAAAAGAAAGATTTTATATAAGGAGATAGTACAGGAGGAGAGAATTATTTCATAGAAAGAAAGATATGAAGCGATTTTAATCTCACAGTTCAATGGAAGGCGAAAAGCATATACATCTACGCTATTGTAATTGATTATGAGCCATGTCACACAGAGTTTCCAACCATTGATTACGATAATCACGCGAACCCAAATCAAGTAGTCTGCATCTACCAACATGGCTCAGACAAGACGTCAGTGACTTCAAGCACTGATGCCACGTTTTCGTTTGGTCACCCCTAACTTTCTTTCATCCGTCTCCAACACTAGTCAGTATTGCACGTTGTGGTATTCGGTGTTCAGGCATACGTAACACGTGGTCCAATCATCTCAGTCGGTGAAGATTCACAACCTCATCAACTGATTTACCAACATTCTCTAATACCCTGCGTCTAACCGACCTTTTTCGCTACCTTGATGTGGTAGTCGGGCTTGCCTATGGTGATGAAGCAATCGAGCTTTACTGGCTGAAACGATTGTTCCTCAAGGTCCTACCATGCCAGACAGGTCGGATGAAGAACAGTGAGAATAAAAGCAACAAATCCAAGGTCCGAAGACGAAGTCGTACTTCTGGCTGTACAGAAGTGCGACGGCAGTAAGGTATTTCCTTCACACAACCAGAATAATAGCAATGCTGCCTTCCCACAAAGAGTAGTGGGGTTACAAAACGTTAACTCTTAAAATTCACAACTCATCTTATCGTATGGATATCCGTCTTCTGCAGTAAGGTCTCAACAAGTACGGAGCTAACACGAAAATTACTCACTAAAAGGTCGGGTGTGACAGACCTCAAGCTATTGTTCCTTGGGCTCTCTGGTCAGGCTCTCAGGTCAATAAACCCACCTCTAATCTATGTTCTTTTCTAGGTACCTCCAGAAGAACCCTTTCAAGATGTGGGTAACCGGGACGTGATAACTGCCCTCACACCTCAAACAGCATTCAAGACCATTGTATTCATAATAATTATGATAATTATTTTGAAATCAATAATAGTGTGTAGTTGATTAAATTTGACAATAAACATGGCTGGTTATAAGCAACAAGCTTTTTTAAACAAAACTGTTCTAAATCCATTACATTCTATTCATCTACTTGTAAATATGTACAGTTAAGTGTCATGAATACGCCTATATATTTTTTATTTATTACAAGTCCGTTCTTAAGAAAATGTAGCATTAAGCAGAATACATAAAGTAAAATTATCAGTATAGGGTTATGAGAATTGTTGAGACATGAATGGATTAGTGTTTGGTCACCAATGAAAACCTGGAATCACTAGATGGTCGTTTCGTCCTAGTACGGGACTCCTCAGTAATACACATCCATGACATTAACACCGCTGAATGTCAGTTCAGTGGTCTAGATGTTAAAAGTTCATGCGCAAGACTGATAGGTTCTGAATTCGAATCTCATAAGTGGGGTTGTCGATGCGCATGGCTGAGGAATCTCATACTGTGACGAAACGACCATCAAATATTTCTTGGTTTTTAGTGATGGTCTAACATTGGTCTATACATTATCTCAATCAAAATAAAATTAGCCTACAAATAATTGACCTAGATTCGTCAAAATAAAATAGGAAACTACCAGATGTTAAGACTTTCACTCTTTTTGTTTCTTTTATTTTTGGAAATAAAATTCTTTTCAATGTAAAGACAATTCAGCTGTATGTATCTCTGCCAAAAAAAATTCCATCATTGATTTAAATGGATTTATGTTAGATTCTTTTATTTTTTTACAAAAAATTTGTTTTCACAATTGAAATAATTGCAAATTTTTACATCATTTCAAAAATTCTTCTTTCCGTTTATCGATTTTTACCATGGATAATTTTGTAAGATGTTTGTTATATTTTATAAATTCATGTTAATTTGTAACTTTCGTTAATATTTCACTGATATTAATCAACATATGCTCACTAATGACTGGTTTCAATGAGGTAATTCCTTGAGTTTTCGTAAGAAGCAGTAACCGGCAGTGTTCAACCGGGTCTGTTGTGTGATATTAACTCAATGAAGACAATGGTGGGTGTGTCGCTCAATTTCGTGGATTGATTGAAGCTAGACATTAACATTGCAGGATGCCGGGCAGCTCAGTGGTCTAGAGGTTGGGCGTTCGCCCGTGAGACCGATGGGTCCAGGGTTCGAATCTCGCGAAGCGGGATTGTAAATGCGTGCTGCTGAAGAGTCTTATACTAGGACGAAACGGCCATCCAGTGTTTGAAATTTCATTGAATTAAATTGAATTTTTCTGATGAATTGTCTTTAAACTGATCAGTATTAATAGTATAATTAATAATAATAATATAGACTAAGCATAAAATTTGAGCGACCATGAGTGAGGGAATTAATTTTGTATTATATCTAGAGCTTAGATACTTGATACACCGCGTACAACTCCAGCACTCGAATGCTAGAACCTTCCAAGTAGTAAATTAGAAAACAAAAGACAAGTCAAACAAATGTTATTCCAATCAGTGTCAAATGTGGTACAAAACTCTCAGGTATTTATAGTTTTTAGTAAAAACGAAATTATCATTATAGTCACAAAGTCTGCATACAAAGGCTTCAACATCGTCTAATAGATAAACTACACGTGGAGATTCTAGAATATTCTCCAGCTCTTTCTGAGCTTCTTAGAGCCTTCTTAAGTTCACCCGAGAGCCGTCTTCACAATTTGAAATAAAAACAAAACTTATCTGAGAAAAACTTCATCTTTAAAAATAATAAATCTATTTTTTGTTATATCCTAATGAGTAGAAGAATTGTATCTCCGATGTTTCATGACTTAATGTAAGACACTTCTTCAGAGCACATAAATAATAGAATTAAATTAACACAAGTTTAAATAGTACAAAGGAAACGATACAGAATATATTTGGTACAATCAAAATCATAATAGGTCTGAATATATCAGTGCGCACTGCTGAG